CTTACTGCTTATGATAAGAAATCTTCTGTGGAACTGTTATAAGGCCCTGGTGACCGTTGGTGAACCAGAAAGGCCCTCGGTATCCATTTCCAATGGCACCAAGGGGCCACTGGCAGCTCTGCTGAGGGGGTTCTTGGTTGGAGCCCCCAGTTTTGTGCGAAAGGCTCTTGAAGACTCGTATAGAAAGGTGGGGGGGGGGGGGGCGGGGGGGGAGGTGTGTTCAGTGGTCGTACTGAAAACCCCTATCCAATCATTAGTTTCCAACTTTTCGTAATTTGACAGAAAATAGAAATGTTCTGGCATCGTACCCACCCACCAAAGAATTTACAATTCATGCAGTTGAACATTTTCTTCTCATCGCCTTTTTACCACCTTTTGCGTTCACATGGTGTCCTCGTCGATGCCTCAGTATTCAGCCACTCTTGCTCCTCTGCGGCCTCTTGTTTGCCATTATTCTATGCATTGTTTATTCGACATACCCTTCCTCACCTTGCTGCTTCTCCTCGCTCCAAAGTAAACTTTACGTTCTACACCTCCCTTCCTCCATTTCAGTGTGGCCCTGGAAGGAAACAAGGTGGGGAAATAGAAAAACAAAAACATGCTGCAAACCCTTCCCTTTTTCCTCTTGCTGGTTCATTGAACTCTGCCTCCTAAAAGTGACATCCTTCTCCAAGAGAAAAGCAGAAATGATGTCTGCCGTTTTATAGCCTTGTCGCTCTTCTCGTTACTCCATGCTTATCCAGCTTGGCTGGATTTAGTCTCACCAGAGTTCAGATGCAAGAGGCGAATAACGGGAGTTGAACCCGTGTTTTCAAATTCACAATCTGACACTTTTACCTAACAAGTCACACTGCAGCTTGCAAGCTCACACCACCTCTTCCTTATTCAAAGCGTCCAGAGCTCAATTCTGTGGGCCTGTCCTACTGTACCTCCTCACCGTTTGCCTCCTAACCCTGACCTTGTAACATGCTTCCTCGACGACCTTCAATTACAGGCATTTCTTTAGCAACAGAGTACCTTCGCATATCTCCAGTCCCCTTCTATTCCTCCGCCGCCTCGTTCTGACTCTGCATCTGTCCTGATGCCCCATATCTTGTGTCCTCTGGTGTGCACATTTCAGCCATATATCACGTCGTAAGGGTCGGGACTTGATTCAGGAACCAAAGGTCCCGACACCATGTCCTCCACCTCCTCATTCTGCATGAGTATGCATTTCATAGGCAAGCTCCTACACTTTCATCATAAAGGCTCCCCTTCTTACCACCTTCTGCACATGTTCCATATGAGAGAGCCTCATAAACGCTCTTTCTCTCTCTCTCTCTCTCTCACACACACACACACACACACGCACACGCACACACGCACACACACACACTCATACCGGAGCCAATTGTTCAAGAGCACAACGAGTCTCGCCACAAGTGCAACCCGCAGAATTGAACGAGTCTCCCCCTGCCGTGAGCGTCCCACCAACCCGCGGAATCAGACAATGTCATAGCGCCACAGCGAGGGTTCTGTGCATACTATGCCATTAATGTATGTCTCCTTGCTTACAATTGTAATCCTTATACTGTTTCTGATTTCGTAGACATTGTTCGCTGGATAGAAGAAGAGCACCGTGCTGTCTTCCCAAAGGAGGGCAGTGTTGCACCTGGTGTAAACATTGAAGTCCTGGCTATGGCATTTATGGTTAGGGACTGAAATTCCAGCCTGCTCCGCAAAACCACGTGCCAGGCAGGGATCCGAATATTAAGGCATACATCTTATATCGTCCAGGTCATTCCAGTGCTCTTACCTTTGCAGGTAATTCATGGATGCTATGGGACAATGGTGGTAGGGTGCACACAGTGGGAAATATTAACTCTTTTCTTCTCACCTGGACTCCTCTCCCTTCTCCATCGTGACTGCATTCCACAAGGAGGGAAAAATAAGGTAAGCGTAGCACCCAATAGAAATCTGTAAGAGTGAAGTTGGTTTAGTACCTCTCTCGTAAACAAGACAAAAAGCAGAGATAAAAGCAGAATTGTTGCTCGGGATCCGTTTAGAATTGGAACCCGTTCAGAATTGGAACGGTAGTGAGAAGATTAGCATGGCCCCTGCACAAAAGAAAGAAAAGAAGAGAGGTATGATTGAGAGCAGCAATTTGAGCTGCATTGAGGTAAATCAAACTAGTTGTGTTGGATGCCATATTTTTCTAAGATCGCGGACGGCTGACCTGTTGTCACAGCAGAGGAAAAGCAAATGTAACCCCAGGAATGGTTAGTGTGCTGAAGGGTTGGATGAGACTGGAGTTCTAAAAGCGTGTGGTATTGCGTGTCAACGAATCACGCTTGAAACTGAGTCGGCAATTGAGTGAGAGAATCTGGTTAATTGAGCTTGAAACTGACTCAGCAATCGAGTGAGTGAATCTGGTTAATCGAGTTTGAAACTGACAATGGAGTTTGAAACTGACTCGGCAATTGAGTGAGAGAATCTGGTTGAGTGCCACCTTGACATGGTGGAAGCCATCATCCCTAGATTGATAAAATTTCTGTTCTGCCGAACGAAGGCAAGTACTTGTAAGCACAGTTGCTTGCAGAGCATATGAAGGATACGAGCCCGGAGAAGCAAGTCTAGAACACAGACGAATGCCCGTGAATTAGAAATACGGAGCTTGATTCCACGTGTATGGTGTGACAGTCTTTTTCCGATCGAGTCCGAAATGTTTCCTGCAGTCGAATAGTGAAAGCTCCAGAAATGCTGAGCATATGAAAAGCTTAATGTCTTCAAGACTATGCCAAACCTATAGAGCCTGAATGTATTTAGGAATGCCGTCGACTTGCACTGATCTCAATGATTTTTCAGCATCTCAGCAGGTGTGGCCGCTGGAATCTGGTGGCTCTCCCCTTGACCAGAGTCTCTTCCATGAAGCAGTAGCTGATGCTTTAGTCTCTTCCATGAAACAATAGCTGATCCTTTAGTAGTCTCTTCCATGAAGCAGTAGCTGTCTCTTCCATGCAGCTGTAGCTGGGGGGTTTAGTCTCTTCCATGAAACAATAGCTGATCCTTAAGTAGTCTCTTCCATGGAGCAGTACCTGTCTCTTCCATGAAGCAGTAGCTGGGGGCTTTATTCTTTTCGATGAACCAGTGCTGATCCTTTGTCTATCTACTCTTTATTATTACGAAAAACCATGCCAGCTCCTCTTACATCTGATTGTGCCACAGTGCGAATGGTCCAAATGCATTGCCGCTGTTTCTTTCTGTAGTGGCCATGTTTTGGGTGCCGATTCCCCTGGTGCGTAGTTAGCCTATGCGGTGGACCTTCAGCACATTGGGAGGTTCAGGAACCTCGTAGCACAGGCCTGTTCTCAAGCGGAAGGTGGATGGGTGGTAGGGTAAGTATCTCTTGTCGAAGAGTAGCTGAGTAACCACCAGGACTTGGCCCAGCTACCGGCCGCAGAAAAAAGTAGAGTAGAAACATTTCTAGTCGGATGAATTTGGGCGCTCCTGTAGTGGCCCGCATGTTTCCTAAAATCGTGGCTCGTTAACGGGCACGACTTCAGGAAATACTGGCGATTTAAGCTGCCAGTGTGGTATTCAAGCTGGGTTGTGAACAACTGCACTGTAGCACTCTTTACCATCCCATCGGAGAACTCTCTCTCTCTCTCTCTGTGTCTTTCGGATTTCTTCATTTTGATCCATGTGCCAAATAAATGTTTACCATGGCTATTGGATTTGGATGGGGGTAGTGGGTGAAGGGGTGTGAACAAGATGTCAATGAAGAAACATGCACAAGATATCAACGAAGAAACAGATGCCTTGAGCTGGGATAACATAGGTGACTGCAAGGATGCCACTGAATTTTCTGCTCTTGCGATGTCTAGGTTTGCAAAGAACTGCAATGCATTGCATAGATGTCGTGTGGCAGCTTGTTGGCAGGTACTGCACCCTTTTGTCGAAGGAACAAGTGGATGAATGGACTCTCTGTTTTGTGGCATTCTGCACATGAGTGGCTGCATTATGGAGTCTCTGTTTTGTGGCATTTTGCACATGAGTGGTGGCATTATGGAGTCTCTGTTTTGTGGCATTTTGCACATGAGTGGCGGCATTATGGAGTCTCTGTTTTGTGGCATTCTGCACATGAGTGGCTGCATTATGAACAGGGGATACCTTTGGCAAACATGTTTTTGAGCTGTTTTCTTTTAGACTGTCCTTGTGTATCCGTTTGACCTCGTATGTTCTTGTGTAACGCTTGTTTATCTTCCGTTCATTTGAGTGCAGTGTTTGCCTTCTGATGATGGTTGGGTATGTGTGCGATGTGTCTTTGTAGGACCTCGTATGTGCTTGTGTAGCGCTTGTTTATCTTCCGTTCACTTGGGTGCAGTGTCTGCCTTCTGATGATGGTTGGATATGTGTGCGATGTGTCTTTGTAGCCCGTTCACTGGCTAACTTGGGTCTTTTCGCTCATCGAGTGATTGATCGACTAGAGTGATTGATTGACTAGAGTGATTGATTTACTCGAGTGATCGACTGATTGCATGATTGGACTGAACAGGTGCTGTGCATCTACACAACAGTCCCCTGTAGAGTAGCATTATGGTCACTGATTGCTCCATTTGGTCCAACTACTTTTTTCGTTGATTGGGCATGATGGCGACGCGGTTTGTACGCTTGCGGAGGATTCGATTGTGTCTGTGTCATATTCTTACCTTCTGCCTTCAAATTTGCAGTTTTAAACAGTCATTTTCTCGATATGTTTCTAGGGTCCGTAGCGAATGTCGATGCCAGTGTTTTTGAGGTTCTTTTTTACAATATATAGAGGAAGTCGTAGCAAATTGTGGTCCCATGCCGTTGAGATGAGGAAGCTTATAGCAAATTTTGAGATGGCGTGTTCTTGAGCTGCTTTCCTAAGAGGGGAAGTAAAACCTTCCATGAGCGCGTTTCCCAAATCGCAGGCACACAAATATTTTCTTACTTGCGACTTGGGTGCTCCTGTTGTTCGCTCATGTTTCCGGCAATAGATGGAAGGGAAGCCTGGAGGTATGCTACAGGCCAAGGTGGAGCGTGCTCAACCGCAACCTGGGTCAGGTCAACTGCCATCTTGTAACGGTGACGTAGGAGCGGGTGGTGTTCAGCGAGGGCGGGCATCGGCAGTGGCAGCAGCTGACCATGCTATCGGGAGGTGTTCATTGGCTGCTGCTGGAGATCCTGCGGCTCTTCCACAGCCTGCTGTAGATGGAGTAGTCACATCTGGAGCTCCGACACCCTTCCTGACAAAGACCTATGACATGGTTAATGATCCTGCGACGGATCCCATCGTCTCTTGGAGTCGGAACAACAATAGTTTTGTCGTCTGGAACCCTCCTGAATTCGCGCGAGATCTGCTTCCAAAATATTTCAAGCACAACAACTTTTCAAGCTTCGTGCGGCAGCTGAACACGTACGGTTTCCGTAAAGTGGACCCCGATCGGTGGGAATTCGCCAGCGAAGGCTTTCTTAGAGGGCAGAAACATCTTCTTAAGAACATTCATCGGCGGAAACCGCTTTCACAGTCTCAGCAGCAGCTCCAGAATTCTTCCCAGCTGCCGAGTTCTGCGGGTGGGTGCGTGGAGGTTGGAAAGTTTGGATTGGAAGGAGAGATTGAGTGCCTGAAGAGGGACAAAAATGTTCTCATGTTGGAACTGGTGAGGTTAAGGCAACAGCAGCAGCAGCAGGAGAACGAGCTTCAGATGACAAACACGCGACTAGCGGCAGTAGAGCAGCGGCAACAACAGATGATGACCTTTCTTACAAAGGCAATGCGGAACCCAGCTTTTATGGCCCAATTTGTCCAACAGCAGAAGGAGAAGGGGCAGAGGTTGACGGTTCGGAAAAAGCGTCGGCTCCCGAAGCAGGATGCTGACGTGAATGGGAGCACTGGCTCGAACACGAGACAGTTAATCACGTATGAACCGCAGCAGCTGAAGAATTTTGAAGCACTGCTAGTTAAACTTGTGAAGGGGCTTGCGAGGCCGACCACGCAGGGGTCGTCAGATGAACCACGAGTTGATATGGCTGAAGGTATGGGGAACCCTTTGTGTGGAAACGGCCAGGCGAATGCGGCAGCGCACCAAGCGGGTAGTCATTCCAGAGCATCTGCTGTGAGGCTTACAGAGGTTGTTCAAGCCGCTCAGCAGCCACAACTACCCATGCCAATGGAGGAAGTTGGTGGGACTGATACTTCTGTAGGAGGGTTGGGTGTCACTGCAATGGCCAGTTCACCGTCACCCAGCCCTCTTGCACTGCCTATCCACGGCCCGGCTGCGCAGCCACAGTATGCTATGGCTGCAGTTGGAATGCCGGTGGGTACAGGTTTTGCGGCGGCTACGGCACCACAAATGGAAGTGGGAGGAGATAGGCTGCACCGCCCAATGAACGGAGGGGGGCATTTAGTGACACATCCTACCTCGGATGCCAATAGACGGGGATTGGTCGGTTGTGAGAATGCGCGGCATCATCCGGTTGCAGGAGTGGGAAATGGGATCCAGTTGGGTGGTGGCGATTCTGTTGGAATGACAATGAATGGGGTGAGGGAAGTGGCAGCTGCGGCATCGGGAACCCAAGGCGAAGGGACCACGTCGATGAGTGATGGGGTCTTGTGCTTGAACGACATGGACAGGGAGAGCCAAATGGGCTCCTCAGACATCGTTGGGCCGTTGCATGATACTGCATTTTGGGATCAGTTCTGGTCCAGCGAATCATCGGCAGGGGATGAAACTTGTAAACTCGATGACTCGTCGGGAGGGGAGTTGACGATTGTTGCACCTGGATCTCTTTCTGGTGCCGACATTGGCACTGCGGTGGTTGCCATGGTCTGAGCGATCCAGTGAGGCCCCCTCCCCTCGCTCCTCGCCGGTCGCGCTGGCCCGATGGTGGCTGATACTAAATGGTCAAGAATGTGCACTGGTGACCTTACCATCCCCGAGCGGTTGTCTTTGCTGATTGTTGCACCTGGAGCTCTTTCTGGTGCGGACATTGGCACTGCGGTGGTTGCCATGGTCTGAGCGATCCAGTGAGGCCCCCTGCCCTCGCTCCTCGCCGGTCGCGCTGGCCCGATGGTGGCTGATACTAAATGGTCAAGAATGTGCACTGGTGACCTTACCATCCCCGAGCGGCTGTCTTTGCTGGACAAATCACTGCGGCGAATGTCGCTTTCTTGCCAAATAAAGTTTGTCGAAGCCTGTGTTTTGATGTTCTTGTGCATGAATGAGTGAGAGGATCTGATATTCGCAGGGTAGTCGATTGGCACAGGGAGCTAGTTGTTCCTGCAGATCTGTAACAATAGATCATAACTGATGATCCTGGTTGGTGCCACTATGCAATGACCTTTTTTTGGTACGTCTCACTCGGTACCATCTCTTTTGTTCGACGCACGCAGAGTATGTGATTACAGGTGTGAGGTTGAGTGCCATTTAGGTTGTAGTCGGCGATTAGGAAGGGTTTTCTTCTTAGATGAGCAGGAAAATTTCAGGGGTTATCTGTAGAAGCTGTGAAGTTGTGAATGGAGAGCTGTAGATCGTGTATCATTTCAACTTGGCGAAATCCCCCTCTGTTCACAGTACCCAGGCCTTCCTTTCTTTTGTAAATCAAACTCGACTACCTTTTCATTTGTTCTCGATTGCTCTCGAACGGAGATTGTTGCAGGTCTGATGTGGCATGCGTTGCCTGCCGGACCTTGCCAAAGTACACTGAGCTGCATGGAAGAGCAGGCCTTTAGTTTTAGGATCGATAACGATTGCGGTCATTCATTGTTGTGGCGACGAATTCCGTTTCCAAAAGAGGGCTCCTTTTTGTGGAGAGCTCGCTCGATGTTCATGATGCGTTTTGAGGAAGTGGTCGATTCGTTGGAAGAGATTTTGGGTTTGTGGACTTGATGATTGGTCGGTTGGCTTGGTTCCGTCTTATCTATGTTTTGCAAGCTTTGACACCTCATGTGTGCGCCAGGATGTGGCCGTCCTCTTGCCCACGCTGCCTCTCCTCCATGCCTGTTTGCCACACTCTTGCAATTTTTACGTCTCCTGCTCCTGCTTCCCGTATCTGCTCGCATCTAAGCCTGAAGTGGATACGATGCTTGGCTCGTGAGGCCAAGGGTGCCAGTTCGAATACGTGTGCTGTCATGCGGGGAGGGATCCAAGGCTGTGGAAGTACCGATCTGATCTGTCATCCTTGTGCCCGCATGCGAAGTTATGTTGTATGTTGTGCCTTTGTATCCGATTCTTCTTTGTTTTCTCTCACTCGTGCTGACCTGCATGTGTATGATTTACAAATAAAGGTGATCTTGACGTGCATGGACGTGTCTTGCTGTTTGCATGTCGACAAACCATACCTACCAAGTGTGCGCCGTTGCGTGGACTACAGTTATCATCGCTTGTTTGCTTCACATGTCTCCAGCTTTGGCTAATCGCCATGCACACTCTGATTTTAACACGCGTGATTTCAGAAAGCGTTCGTGTTTCTAGCTGCTGAGGTCTGTTCCAGATTTAGTAATTCCCAACTGGTAATTTCCATTGGATGGGCTGGTATCATCTGCAGAGCTTGGCAGACAGTGTTGTGGTGTGATTGCTATCGTTTGTGGAGCAGCTGGTGCAGCCTAGAAAAATGGCACCCTTGCGATGGCCACTTCTCGTGTAGTGTGACACCCACACCTAGGCTACTTGTCATAGCAGCCCGAACATTGTCTCGACAGGCTGGTTCGACGGACCTGGTTAACCTGATCAAACCACAATTGCATTGCATTGGGTTTGTTTATGGATGGAGAGAGAGAGAGAGAGAGAGAGAGAGAGAGAGAGAGAGAGAGAGAGAGAGAGAGAGAGTTGTGGGGAGAAGGTGGAGAGTGTTGACCCCTTTCAAAACCTTCGCTGTAATGTGAAGATTTTGACTGGCCAGTCCTTTCACGGCAAGAGGGCTTTCGTTTCGGAACCCACGGTTGCATGCTTCAGCAGAAGCCTGATCTTCTTGTACACAATTCATCACCCAGGCGTTTCAGGCACACTCTGCCAAGAACGGCTGAGGCTCTGATTGGACTTCAGGCACTTTTAGGAGCGTCAGAGCCAAGAGAGGATCAGAGTCAGAGTCAAGAAAGGAAAATAAGAAATGGGTACGTTCTCACAAATTGTGCAAGAGTGACGTTATGCGTCCTCGTGCACACACACACACACACACACACACA